TCCATTTTCCTCTCTAACCAAAGCATGGGTTTCATGCCCTCGTGATGCCTCACGCTTCCATCTAATCCCTAGAAGCTGATGAGCTCCCAGGGGGGAGCTGTTTCCAATGGGAAGAGGCAGACCCCTGAAAACGGGGTTCTCCTTCACCCCACCTGCCGTCTCTAGTCTTCTCCCAAGAAGACACCCCACAACTTGCACCTGGGGGGCCGTGGGGGTTACTAGAAGCTGCAGGCCATTCTTCCTCGGTTAGAACCCGCAGAACTCGGGGTACCCTCTGTCCCCAGGCCCACAGTGAGGCTTCAGAAGAGGGACCAGGTGTGGGAGACCATCATTTAGGAAGTCTTAAATGAGATGAGACTTCGTAACAAGTAAATCGACTTACGTTAAAGGCTGGAAAGGGAGAGATCGCCTCCCCATCTCACCAAAAAGAGAAGGAAAGAAGCCGTCGATAAGCCATCTTCTGCCCTGCCGCTCTGCTGTCTTCCCTGGCCAGGGACAGGATGAACGTTGCACCTTCCAGACCCCAGATCAGTGTGTGTTTGCCAAGGAGGCTGTCCACACCTGAAGGCTGGGGCCCCAGCCCTGCCGGCCCCATTCCCTGGGACAGGCCACCCTGTCTCCCAAGGGGCAGAGAGACCTTTTGAGTCTGCTCTGTGCCCGGCCACCTGATGGGGAGTGCACAGCTGCCCTTCACACCCTCCTCCCATGGAGTGTCCTAACAGGCGGGCTTCTCGGTCATCTTTCCCGTTGGACTTAATTCGTTGACTTAACCTCTCATTCAAGTTGATGGAGATCGTTCTGATTTCATAGCACTTGGTTCACAGCAGCTCCTTTCTCTGAATCACTTTTTGAAGTTCGATCGGGGCGGTTCCCGCCCGCACCGCTGCCTCCCCTGCAGGAATGCATCACCCTCCACGATGCTCAGATACATAAGGCAGGTCATGGCCTTTCCAGTGCCCATCGCGTCTGAGACAGCAAAGACGCCCTGCAGTGCGTCACTGACCTTTCTCAACAGCCAAAGGTCAGTTCAGAAGACCAAGAAGCTGGCACCACTGAGACGGGTGATGGGCTTGGGTCCTGCACCCTCCCACCGTTTACTGCGCTGAGGGTGTTCATGGACCTTATGAGGTCTGAGCAGGTGGTGAATAAATACGGCCCCGCCGTGTCCGCAGGGCTGTCTCCAGCTGCCCTTTTCCTTCCTTTCTGGCAAGCACCTCCTGCCCTCCACACGTAAGCTCGCCACGGGTGAGGGGCTGCCCAGAGCATCTGCCCTGGGCCAGGCTTGGATTCCTCGGTTCCTGTGGCTGCCTGCGACACTCGCCAGCCACCCTACCTGGACCCTGCAGTGCCTGGGGAAGAAATGGAGTGGGAAGCACCCTGCCCACCTCGCCCCAGGCCCTGCACCCCGCTGCGCACCCCAACCGAGGCCTTGCGCCATCCACTTGGGCAGTGCAGCAAAAGTCAGATGGTGCATCTCCCAAATACCAGCCTCAGTCGTCCCAGAAGATGGGCTTGCATGGTTCACTCATAAGAATGATCTCTCTCTTCTGAGATGACTTCTGAAGAGGGGGTCAGTAGATTCAGGGAGGCGCTTTGCGGCGGGTCTCAGGAATCTCGGAGCCTGGGGCCCTGAACAAGTCACTTAGCTGCTGTGTGCCTCAGTTTCCCTACTTACCAAGGAGCGAAATGTGCTGCATCTGGCCAACATTCTTTTCCGGGAAAACGTGCGAGGAGAGCAAGAGTGTTACTGAGCGCGGTGAGAAGCCCTCACCGTGCTGACGGGCAGCAGGGACCTCCCGGGGACCCAGCGGGCAGCCCTGGGCTCCTTCCAGCAGACACTGGGTTTCTTTTTGGATTTCAACCAGATAGGGTCGGGTGGCCGAAGGGAGAGGGCAGAGTATAGGCTGTATGGTGGGGGTGGAGGCTGAGCATGGAGCGAGACCCTGGCTGGCCACTCACTGAGCAGCTTGGCCTCTGAGCCCAGCCAGACGCCTCATCCACAAACTGGGTGTTGCGGCCATCACAGCTGAGTCGGTAAAGGGCCTCGCCTCATTCTGTGATGTGCAGAAAAGGATTAGTCCGTGTGGCTGATTGTGCAGAGGAGGATGTGGAGGAGGAGTGGGCAGCCCTAGCATTCCCGGACATTAAGGCTGCATGTGAACATACGTGTGCAGGCATGTACCCACTCACATCTACACAGGCACGCCCTCACACAGCACCCACGTGTCTCACACTCACGCCCACATGGTGGAATGGGTTGAGCTATGGTGCACGGGTGCACTTCCTGCTGTATCTTGAAGGCTTTTTGTGTGACCGTTTTATAACGTGTGGTGTTTTTAAATAGCTTTATTGAGGCATAGTTTGCATGCTGTAAAATATATTCCTCTTAAGCGAACCATTTAATAAACTTCAGAGCATTTAGGAACTGTGCAGCCATCACTGCCATCCGACTGCCCCCAGAGGAAACCTCGCCCCTCTGCAGTCCCTGCCGCCAGCTCCCTGGCCCCGAAGATGCTGCCTTTGCTGGACGTCTCAGAATGGAGCCAGGACTTTTGCGTCCAGCGTCTCCCTCACAGCGGGATTTTTTAGACCCATCCCTGTGTCAGTTCTGCCTTCCTTTTCCCCACGGAACAGCATTCCCACATTGTTTTCTAAAACCTGTGCTTTGTGGACTTAGGTCTCCGAAGCTTGAGTTCTAGAATGTTCTCAGCAGGCCCATCTCATCATAGAGGATGGAAACCAGCTGTAGAGAAGAAGGGAGAGTTGGGCCGAGGAGGACTCCAGGGCTCAGCCCTGAAGAGACCCAGGTGGTGGCCTCATCTTCCTCGTGGCCTTGCCTGTCCACTGCCTGGCCCTGACATCACGAACGTGGCAAGCCAGCCTCTTCCGTCGCGCACACGCCAGTCGAGAAGACACGACATTCAGAGGTGGGGTCTGTGTTGGGGCCTGGTCACGCCTCTTCTTTCTCTGGGTGCAAAGTTGTCTTCCTGATGAGCTGGGTACAGAGGTTCCCACGGTGTCCCCTCAGTGCCCTGGCGGGAGGTGCTCACGGCGACCACCCTTGCCTTGGATCTTCAGCACGTTTTCAGGAAAAAGCCGCATTCTCCCGGGAATACGACGGGGCTTCCCAAGCCCAGATCTCCCTGGCATTCGGATGGACGGCAGCCTTCACTGGAGCACTGAGCCTCAACTGTGTGGCCCTGAGACTCCGGGAGGGAAGGAAGGAGCTGAGGCCAGGGACGTCCTGCCTTGACAAGAATCTGTTTATTGTGTTTATCAATATGAATGTGGAGGTTTCTTTTTCTTTTGCTTTTTCATTGCTTTTCTCTTTCTTCTCACTAGTGATGTTTGGAGCCCATTGGCCCCAGGTCACCTGTAACATGCCAGGGCCCACACACACCAGCATCTGCACACATGTGGGGCACCATCGCTTTGATCATGAGTGTGCCCAGCACAACTCCCCACCCCACCATGTCCCCGGCTCTCCCCACCGAGGGGTCCTGGTGCCTGTTGTCCCCTCTGTGCTGTGTGTGGCGGCGGTATTCTGCTGCCCCCCGACCCCCAGCCCCCGCCTGCCCTCTGCCACTGTCCTGTGCCCAGGCATCCCTGAGAGGTGCAGCTGCTGCCGCCCTTCCTGATACGCCGGCACTGTGACTCCGAGCAGAGGCTGAGGGCGCCCGGCACGGGGACCAGCTGCTCAGGCACCAGTGCCAGGGCCGTGAGAATCCAGCCTCTGCTCTCTGGGGCTGTTTTTTGCCATTTTTAAAAATTTCTATGCTCTCGGCTAAAGTGGTCCCCACATCTTCCATAGTCAACAGCTCTACGCTTGCTGTGGAGAGGAAAGAGACCACCGCTGCTGTCTTGGGTGTGAGTGTGTGGCCTCGAGGGTCTGAGAAAGGCCCGGATCTGAGCGGAGGGAGGGAGGGAGGGAGCCAGCGTCATTCCAGGGGCCGGGGAAGGTGAGACCCGAGCCTCCTAAATCTTCTAAACCCACTGGGCCAGGCCTTAAGGCGGCTGGAGTTCGAATTTCCTGAGATGAACAACTGCCCCTGTGGAGGTCCAGACCCCTTACTAGAGGAAGGCCCCAGAGCATCCCAGACTCCATGACAGGAAACCGAAGGGGCGCACGGCTGAGGACAGAATTCCGCAGCCCAGGCCCGTGGGAACTGCATCTCCTGACCTGCAGTACCCAAAGGTCTGGGTGCTCCCAGGGCCAGGGGGGCTCCTGGGGTCCCTTCCCCTCCCTAACGCTGTGCCAAAGAGCTCAAAGGCATTGCTCATCTCTGCTGAGAGCAGCCGGGGCTCCAGGCCCTGCGGGAGATGTCCCCACCCTTCATGCTGAGGCCCCCGTCTGCTGTCCACCCGAGCCAGGACCCCCTTCCTGGCCTTCCAGCCGCTGCAGGCAGGAAGGGATTTGCTGACCCTAGGCAAGGAACGAAGTGTCCTCAGTTTCCAGTCCCTAAAGGGAGCTAGGGTCCCTCCTGGCAGAACCTGTCCAGGAATGGCCGCTGTGTTGCTTCCTAAGCTCAGTAGCAGATGCCACAGGAGGTGTGTGGGGCAGGGTGCCCGCCCAGGCTGCCTTCCTCCCGCCCTCCTCCTCCTCCCCTGCTGCTGCTCCATCATCCCCAGCAGCCCTGGCTCTGGCATCTGTGCCCGTGGGGTTTGCCTGACCCCCTCCACATTATAGAAGAAGGAGCAGGCACTCCGAGGAGCTAGGGGTTGTCAGCTGGGGGAGTTGGGTCCTGTCTCCCCCAACCTCGGTCTCACGTGGTCCACACTGTGAGGCTGGGTGCTGAGCTGCCCTGCACGGGAGCGCTGCATGGCCAGTGCCCTGAGGTTGTTTATTTGCATTCCAGGCGCCCTCCACACACCCAGCTATTTGCAGCTCTGACCCTTGCCCTGGCTTGGCCACGCTGGATTCCCAGCCCAGGCTTCCCTCTCAGTTCCCTTCCCAGTGAGAAGCTCAGCAAGGGCGGGTCCCGGAAGGCACAGCTGTGATCTGGGAGGTGCTGAGCACCCACCTGTGACCCATGGCCGGGGAGGGCCCAGTAACGTCAGCATGGCGGTGCCCCCGAGAGGGTGGGGCATAGACCCCACCCAGACAAACCCTGACACGTTCCTTCCTTCAGGGGTGCGATGGATGGAGCCCAGTCCTGAGAAGCCTGCAGGCAACCGGCAGGAGCCCACCCTGGGAATGGACGCGATGGCCTCAGAACACAGGGACGTCCTCGTGCTGCTGCCCAGCCAGGAGCAGCTGCGGCTGACCGTGGGGGTGAGCAGGGCCGTGGGAGTGAGCAGGGTTGTGGGGGTGAGCAGAGCCATGGGGGTGAGCAGGGGTATGGGGTGAGCAGAGCCTTAGGACACAGCCTGTGTACTGAGAAATCCCTGGACCGCCTCACTCTGCTTACGCCAGGTGCCTGTGAGGTGTCAGACGGTCAGCCCTTTCACTGGGCCTGTGAGGGAAACATCACTGATAGACGTTGCTGTGAGAAATAAGTTTACGGTTCAGCACATCCTTCCTGGGAGCGCTGAGGGAAGAGCACCAGGAAGCCGGTTTCCAAGGGGTAGCTCCTGTCTTGTGTTCAGACGTCACTGTCTCTCTGCTTCTCTCTTTCCTTTTCCCCCATTTTGTCTACCTGTTTCAGTTGAGTTTGTGGGGACAGGAGTTGAGAGAGTACTTTCATTTTAATGATTAATGTGGATAATGAAAATGTGTAATTAAAATGAGAGTGGTTTGTTAAAGAACAATGACTTTCTGCGTAGCTAATTTATCAACGCTACCTGGAATGAAATATGACTTGCTAGTAATATCTTGGTTCAAGATTTCCCTGGGAATCTCTTGTCTGCCTGGAGATAAGAGTTCTGTGTTTAAGTAAATGCCCATATCTATGTTTGTGGCAAAATCTCTCCCAAGACTCTGTGTCCCCACCCGGCAATGGGAAGCTGGAGTTGAGGTAATGGGGGGTGTCCCGTAGTTTCCTGGGGTCCCCAGCGGTGCCTCAGGCTTGGGGGAGGGGTCATAAGAGGACCTGTTGCAGGGAAGATGCTGTGGCTTTGGCCCCCTGCCCCATAAGAGCTGGAACTTTTATGTTTCTTGCACTGAACTTCACAGTAAGATTTTAACTGAGGGATCATGCAGCCAGAACACAGTGGACCCCCTGGGTGAGTCATGCTCGTCTGTTTTTGACTGAGCCCCCTGAAGTGCCTCTGCAACTCCTGTGGCCCCTGCTGGGCCCAGCAAGTTGGCAACCACAGAGCCTACTTCCTATCAGGGTGTGTGCACCTATGTGTCTGCAGTTGGACAGGAACCCTCTATTGGGGTGTGTGTGCATCTGTGTCTGCAGTAAGAGAGGAACCCTCTGTTGGGGTGTGCATGCATCCATGTCTACAGCTGGACAGGAACCCTCTATCAGGGTGTGTACTCGTGTGTATCTGTAGTTAGACAGGGAACCCTCTATTGGAGTGTGTGCACACCTGTGTCTGCAGTTAGACAGGAACCCTGTATTCAACCAAATATGTGTCAAGCCCAGTTATTAGAAAGGGATGGGCTGGGAAGACCATCACTGAAGATCTGTGTTACTGCCATTGTGGGACCTGCCCTTCACCACGTTAAGCAGACAATAATTGTATTAGTCTGTTCTCATGCTGCTAATAAAGACATACCCAAGACTTGGTAATTTATAAAGGAAAGAGGTTTAATTGACTCGCACTTCCACATGGCTGGGGAGGCCTCAGGAAACTCACAGTCATGGCAGAAGGCACCTCTTCACAGGGTGGCAGGAGAGAGAATGAGTGCCCAGCAAAGGGGAAATCGCCTTATAAAACCATCAGATCTCATGAGAACTCACTCGCTATCAGAACTGGATGGGGGAAACCGCCCCCATGGTTCAATAACCTCCCACCAGGTCACTCCCACAGCACGGGCAGATTATGGGAACTACAATTCAAGATGAGATTTGGGTGGGGACACAGCCAAACCATATCATTAAGGTAGCCGGTCTTACAGTAACTCAGGATTAACTCAGGATGAGTAAGCTGGATACCGAATTTGACTTGAGAGGGTACAAATGAAGAACCGCAAAATGGCCTCCTGCAGATCCAGCTGCCCCAGCTGTGCCCTGCTGTGAGATTTCCTCCTGGAGCCCCAAGTGAGGGTCCTCGGGAGAGTCTGAGAGCAAAGCGCACAGCTACTGGCCGGCACCATCGGTCACAGGTTTGGCGCGCTGCGATTCCGCCCGAGAACGCTGCCTCTCCTGCCGGGTGGCCACAGATGCGCCCCACAGCTGCAACAGACAGGACTCAGGGAGAGCTCTGCAGGGGACGCCCGCCAGTCCCAGCCATGCCGGGGCAGAACAGGTGTGAAGTAGCCTCACGTGCAGGACACAGGAAATGTGGACACAGGACGCCGGAAATGTGGACACGGGACACCGGAAATGTGGACACGGGATGCCGGAAATGTGGACACGGGACACCGGAAACAGGGACACGCACCAGACGCTGGGTGTTTAGAGGCTGCTGTCAGAGGCTCAGCTGTAGGAGCACTGTTGGGATCACTCGCATTAGTTGGGCGATGGATGATGAGAGACACCTATGCTCACGCTCATGGCAGACCAAGCATTCATTTGTGCTGTGCGAGGACAGAGCCCAGAGGGCGGCCCTGGAGGTGACGCTGCATCATGTGTCCCTGACTGAGCTCGGGAAATCCTCACACCAGGGACAGACAGTGATGGAGGGGGCAGCCCTGATCAGAGCACCCCACCCCCTCCACCCTCACTCCCCTGCACTCACAGGTGCTCTGATGGGCATGTGGCTGGTGTTTAGCCTTCGGCTTTGGGAGAGAGTGAGGGACCCAGACCTGTTAGCTGCAGGGAGTGCCTGACTGGGTGGTCCCCCTGGTGCCCTACTGGGCCTCGTTTGCTCAGGTGGCCTCCCTGGGGACAGGTGCCAGCCCCTCCCTGAGCCCCTCCCCACCTCTTTTGCAGGTGAAGGCCACTGGCCGGGAGCTTTTCCAGCAAGTGTGCAACGCGGTGAGCATCAGAGACACCCAGTTCTTTGGCCTCTGTGTGATCAGAAGTAAGCATCGCTCAGGCCTCACTTGCAGAAATGCCCAGGGGCCGCGTCTGCCGGAGGTCAAGGGGGCGGGCGCACCACACACATCCATAATGTACACAAATATTTACCCATCACTCTCACACGTACACATGCACACACCACACACATGCACACGGTTACACACCACTCACACATGTACACATGCACACACCAAACATGTGCACAGTTACACACCACTCACACTTGTACACATGCATACACCACACAGGCACAATTACACACCACTCACACATGTACACATGCACACACCACACATATGCACAGAATTGCACACCACTCACACATGTACACATGCACACACCACACACATGCACACAATTATACACCACTCACACATTTACACATGCACACACCACACATGCACACACACACCACTCACACATGTAAATATGCATGTACCACACATGCACACACACACCACTCACACATGTACACACACTGCACCACACACATGCACACAGTTACACACCACTCACATGTACACATACATACACCACACAATACACTCAATAACACACTACTCACACATGTACACATGCACACACCACACATACGCACACAATTACACACCACTCACATGTACACATGCGTACACCACACACGTGCACACACGCACCACTCACACGTATGCATGCATGCACCAGACACATGCACAGTTACACACCACTCACATGTACACATGCACACACCACACATGCACAGTGCCGATTGTGCTGTTCTGAGGGGCTGTTGACTCCAGGGGCTTCCAGGAAGCCTCTGTGCAGTAGCAGGCTCCTGGATTTATGTGAATTCTTACCTGGAGTTCTAGTACATGCAGACAGCAGGTGGGGGGGCGGGGCCAGCCCCCTGGGCTCCACAGACCCTTCAGCCGGATTGCGTCGCATGGAAGAGCTGTAAGAACCCGAAGTGCTTCATGTGCACTTTTTGCTGCCCCAGGAAGTGAGTGGCAGCACCTGTATCCAGTGCTGCAAAGGACTGGGGGCTTCTCATCTATAGTGGGGGCTTGAGGTTGGCAGCACAGACAAGCCCTGGCCCTCTCTCCCCAGTCAAGCCAAGGGAGGCACGGACAGATGGAGATGAAGCTCAGTGCTGACCAGCGGTGGCTGAGTATCCCCCTGCCTTGCTGCCTGAGGAGGAGCAAGACCTCTGCCTGAACTGACCTCTCCCAGGCTCCCCCAGAACAAGCCGGCCTCTGTCTAGGGGAGTGAGTGAGCCAGGGTGTCCCTGCACAGGACACCAGGACCCACGCATCATCCTCCCAGGGTCTGCAGCGCCTTGTCAGGGGCTGTGAAGGGAGCGTGAGATTTTAGGATCCTTCTGGATGAAGCCGTCTTGCTGCGACCGTCCCACGTGGTGCCCTGGGGTTCCATCCCCAGTTTCTCTTCTGACCATTGTGAATGTGGACAGGGGTCAGCGCTTCCCTCAGTGCAGGTGGCCCCGGCCCCTTCTGTGCCTCAAAGTGGAAGCGAGAGTGCCCCTGTCTCAGTCTCCTCCTTCTCTAATCTCCGCCTGGAGTAGAACCCTAACTCCATCTCAGGGCTGCTCTGGAAGCTGTGGGACCCCTGGGTGGAGTGGAAGGAGGACCCTGTGGGGCAGAGGGGTGTTGACTTTGGGGAGTCCGGTTTTGCTGTTTGGTTTTGTGGTTGGTGTCATCAATCTGTGATTTTAGAAATGAAAAGAAAATTAGTCTGGAGGGAATGAGGGAAGAAAGTCAAAGCATCCCAACCCTGTTCTTGGCATCGTTTATTTCTTAAAGGCTTAAAGTACTTTAACAACCAAGAAGCAAATCGAGGGCAGGGCAGGTGTTGGGGGAATTCGGGAGCTGCCTGGAAAACCCGGGCCAGGACCCATTGCTTTGGTTGTGGATTATGTCCATCATCGCCAGACCAGACGTTCACTGTCGCGTTGGAGCCGCTGTGTTTGTGGGGCGAGCTCTGGCCCGTGCTCCACTCTGCTTTGTCTATGCCCAAGTTCTCGGCACTGAGGCTTCACTGCTCTCCCGAGGCGGAGAAAAGCCCCAGGGCATCCCCCTCCCTTATGCGAGGCCCTGCACAGGGCGAGTGGCTGTGGTTGAGAGGGCCTCTGGGAGACGCGGTTCCAAAGGCGACCACGGGTGTGAGGGCACGGGACTTCAGCCCTATCCGGAGTTCAGGCCCAGCCTCTGATGTCCCTGAAACCTAGAGACAGCAGGTGGTGTTGGAGGGTTCTGAGGGTGGAGTGTGGGGGTCTTCCAGAGGTCCAGCGGCAGCTCCTTGGGGAAGGACCTCCCCTCCCAGCAGGGGGTGCAGGGCAGGGCGTCTCTCCTGATAACCAAGAATCCATCGCCCAGGCGGGGCAGGTTCCCGGTGGCCAAGGATTCTCCCAGTGTAGATGCTGATGATCCTCGGTGTTGGGGAATTGCAGACAGGTCATGAAGCCGGCAGCCCTGGCTTGGATGCCTTCGGCTGGCTTCTAACCCTGTTTCCTTTCAACTGAGGCACAGTGTCTGTGTAGTCAGCTGCCCAGATGCTAAGGGGAGAGCTCACGGGCATTTGCATTTACCGTGTGTCTGAGCACAAGGGCCAGCAGTGGGGAGGCCTGGGAGGCAGCAGGCAGGGGTCCTTGAGTCCTGAGGGTCAGTGCAGGATGAGGGTCTGCAGCACTGGGACAGCCTCGAGCAACAGGCAGGGCTGGGAGGGTGACCCGGAACAGCTCCCACCAGCAGCCAGGCGGGCGCACAAAGGGAGATTGCTGGCTGATCAGCCAGTGTTTGCTTTGGAGGCACCTTTACCCTGTGGAGGGAGTTCCCAGGTGGGAGGACTTTCCAACTCCTGCCGACCAACTCTTTCTCGCGTCCCTCTTGACGCTGTCCCCTTTCTCCCTGTCCCCTTGACCCTGGACGTTTGAGACAGCCTGTGGCCGAGCTCACTGGCCTTGGGGACAAGAAAGGAATCTGTGTCACCTTTCCTCCCAGTGATCCAGGAATCCGCCTCTGAGGAGGACAGACTCAGAACTGGCCCCTCAACCTCCCTGGGGCTGCGGCTTGGCGCCTCCACCCAGCAGAGCCCCGTGGCCCCAGGGCCTTCTTGACCCCAGGACACCCTTCTTGGTTCTGGTCAGAGTCCTTGCTTTGGAGATTTGGACTTTTTTAATGGGAAGTACTTGGATTTCTTACTTTAATTATCTTGTAAGTTGTAAATTGTGTACATTTTTGAGACATTTTATAAATTGTGTACATTTTTGAGACATTTTATAAATTGTGTACATTTTTGAAGCCTGTAGCAAAAAACAAGAGATGCAATTTGGGGCTTGGATATAGAGACAAGGCAAAATAAGACAGAGACAGAGAGGGATAGAGAGAGGGTGGGCGCCACCTGGCCTGGCCTTGGCCCTCGCTGCCTGGAGCTTGCTCCTATGGCAGTGAGCGAGGGTGCCGGTGTCCAGCCCCTTGGCCAGCCCTACAGGAGTCTCTGCTGTCACGCCAGTGTCAAGGGTAGCAGAGCACAGTGGGGGAAGCTCAGGCCTTTTGTTCAATCAACAGGCACTTGTGGAGCTCCACAGTGTGTCCCGATCTGCCTGCCAGGAGCTGGGAGGACGACTCTCACCGGGAAGAGTGAGGAGGCTCCGGAGGGTGCATGTGGTCCCCACCCTGCTGGGTTCAGGGGAGCCTATAGCCAAGGCCAGAATCTCCCCTTCTAGCAGCTAGATGCCCATCCTCCAGCAGACAGTCCTGTGCCAGTCAAGGCTCTCCAGAGAAGCAGGACCAGTAGGACACGCGAGCACACTCTTGATGGATGTATGCGTATGTGTATGTCTGTATACACGTATCCTTCCAATCCCATTTCTCTCTACAGATAGTGTGTGTGTGTATAGATACATAGAGGGAGAAAGAGAGAAGCTGATTTATTGTAAAGAACTGGCTCATGTGATTGTTGGAGGCTGGCAAGTCTGAAATCTGCAGGGCAGGCTGGAGACCTAGGGAGAGCCACTGTTGAAATCTGCAGGGCAGGCTGGAGACCCAGGGAGAGCCACTGTTGCCATCTCGAGTCCGAGGGTCATCAGGAGGCAGAGTTCCTTCCTCCATAGGGGACCTCAGTCTTTCCCTCTTAGTCCTTCAACCAACTAGACGAGGCCCACCACAGTATGAAGGTCATCTGCTTTACTCAAAGTCTACTGATGTAAATGTCTCCCTCCCTCCCTCCCTCCCTCCCTTCCTTCCTTCCTTCCTTCCTTCCTTCCTTCCTTCCTTCCTTCCTTCCTTCCTTCCTCTCACTCCGTCACCCAGGCTGGAATGCAGTGCTGTGATCATGGCTCACTGCAGCCTCGACCTCACGGGCTCAGGTAGATCCTCTGGCCTCAGCCTCCTGAGTGGCTGGGACTGCAGATGCATATATTGTAGCAGGACGAGCCGCAGACAAAACTCCTCAGACACCAGATTAAAGAAGGAAGAGGTTTTTCATTCGGCTGGGAGTGTCGGCAGACTTGCGTCTTAAGAGCCGAGCTCCCCGAAAAGGACCTTTTTTTAAAGGCTTACAACTTTAAGGGGTCTACGTGAAAGGGTCGTGATAAATCGAGCAAGCGTTGGAAACGTGACTGGGGACTACATGCCTTAGCTAACAAAACAAAAAGTTTTACAATGGTTTTTTCATACCGCGTCTGGTATTTACAGACAACACAAGTAGTTTAGGTCAGGGGTTGATGTTATTATTGTTACTTTTTTTAACTCCTAGGGCCGGGTGGTGGTGCCAAGGTTGTCTAGCTGTTTATCTTACTTTGGTTTCTTTCTAACTTTTTGCTTTCTCTTTCCTCCTGTCTTGTGAACTAGGCAAGGTGAGGGGAGTAGTAGTGGTCTCCTTCCTTATCCCCTGCTTTGAGAATTTTCACTAACTAATGGGAGTTCTCACTTTTATTTTTACTTTTTGAGTCTTTTTGCGAGACAGAGTGATAGTGTTTTATGTAATACAGTTTTGTTGAAGTTTTCT